GACACCTTTTCTCTCTGACTCTTACCCTCCTGCCTGCCTTTATAAGAACCCTAGATTACATTGCACATTCTCAAATAATTCAGGATAATCTCCTCCATCTCGAAATCCTGAACCACATCTTCAAAATTTCCTTTACCAAGTCAGGCAACATTCAAAACTTTGGGGGAATAGAACTTGGGTATGTTGGGGTGGGCATAATATGGCTTGCTCTACCAGAGTTCAGCAATCTGTAGCCCTGGGGGTCTGCCACATGTTTATGTAAATAGAGTTTTATTGGAGCACAGCAATAGTAATTCTTTCCATATTGTCTGTAGTTGCTTTCATACTACAGCAGCAGAGTTGAGTTACAATAGAGCTCATATGGCCTGCAAAGCCTCAAATATTTACTATCTCATCCTTTATAGATAAAGATTGCTGACCTTGTTACTAGATTTACTGTCACCTTGGGCAAATTATTTAGTCTCACTAAGCATAATAGAATCATAACGTTATAGACTAGGAAAGAACCTTAAAAGTAATTTTGGTTAAACTCTACCTTATACATTCCTCTGCGTAAATCACCTTTTCAGAATAACTGGTGAATGGCCATTCAGCTTCTACTCCAAAACATGGAACTAAAAGGAGCCTACTCTCTCATGAAGTAGCTCATGTTTATTTCAACCAACTGAAATTCTGCAACAAATAGAAATATATTATTTATATTGACCCAAAAGTTGCAGTCCTTTGACTTTTTTCCCAGTCTTATTTCTGCCTTCTGAGACCATAGAGAATAAGTGAACTCTCTCTTCTATCTGAAGGCGCTTTAAAAATTTTATTCTGCTATCATATTTTAACGTTATTTCATTATTTGCATAAATATGTGGAGTTATCAACAGAGGAGAATGTTCTCAGATCAGAGCCTTGATGAGCAAGCTGCCTAGATTTAGCTGTCACTATTGCCTGGATGCAAGGGAGTCACTGCCCCACGTCCAGCTTTTATGAGTTTCTTTATTTATGCCTGGGAAATTCACCAAAGAAGGTGGGTTTGCACACTTAACTTCTCCCTTTCAGATGAGGCTCTCGTATTTCCTCGTTCAATAAGCCATGTGAATATGGCTTTCAGCTCACACAGTGTGGATGCCCAAGCCTCAAATCCCTCTCCTATAATTCTGATTCCAGCTCCAAGGTAATTCAGATACTGTTAGTAGGCTGTGACTAAAGGCAAACTAAGCTCAATGAAACCACGCCTCCACTGCAGAGGTGAAATGTATTGTTCATCAGGGAAAAACCAGGCTCCTCTAGAGGGCACTGTAGCACACACCGAATTCTGTGAACTGAGAACACTAGTCTAAGGGAATCTGAACAGACCAGCTCTTAAAGTTGTCTATTCCCTGGGGGTGAGGTTAGCCAGGGGGACAAAGTTAAGCCAATAAAAAAAGGCTCAAAAAAGCTAACTTGTTATTAGAGTTACAAACCACGTGTGCATAATCTCTGGTGTTCTATCCTAAGTCTAAAGCTTACCTGGTGCTTAATTCATTATCAATTCCTGTATCTGACAATATTTACTGAATCTTTACTATGTGCTAGCCTTTGTGTTAGGGACTGATGAAAAAAAAAAAAAAACTCTTCCTGATTTCTCCAATCTACCTTGAAGTCTCTTTCTCTTTTGTTTATTAATAATCCTTATCTAAAAATCCCTTAGCAATTGGAGATGTCTTGTTCCTTCATTCTTTATGTTAAATGATGTCCTCATCATCCCCCATCAGCAAGTTAGAAGACCTGGAGTAACTCCATACCTAACCTCCCTTCTCTTTTCAATTTGGCATCCCATTCTACCAATTCTGCTTAATATTTCTCGAGTCTATCCTGCTCATTTCCATTGCTCCTTGCCACAGCCCCAAGATAGCATTATCTTACTTCTGCTCACCTTCCCAGGTTTATCTATCACCATTCCCCATTCTGAATTTACATGTAAAAGTTCTAAGCTGCTTGCAATTTCACACCCTCTCCTTTTTCTTTTTTCTCTATTTTTGACTCTCCCCCAACTTGCCTTGCTTATTTCTACTCATCTTTTAACATTCAGCCCAAGCATCTCCTCCAAGACTCTTAAAACTACTCTTCCCATCCCTTCTTCTGCTACTGGACTGGGTAAGTTGCCCCTTTTCTGGACCTTTAGAGTCTGAATACATCTCTCTTAATGTTCTTTCCGTTTTTCCTGCATACAAGATTGTGAGCTCCTTGAGGACGCGGGCAATTCTATATGATTCATCTCTACATCCTTGATGTTTATTCCAGTCCAGGAACATAGCGGCCCTCAACGAATGTTATTTATGTCAATCAATATTGAAATCAATTCGATAGTACCCATAGAGCTGAGGCCCCAGATGGAGGAGTGGTGTACAAAGAGAAATGTCAATAAAAAATCTCTGGGCTTTCTACAGTAGTTCTCCCTCAGATGATGAAGTTTCTGACAGTGATGTACACTATTGAAACATATTCCTTTCATTAATAGCTATGTTTCTTCAACAGTAATAATTAGGTTAACACTTTCTCTTACTGTTTGCACAACTGGAAAAAACTCCTGGGAGAGGAAAGTATAAGAGATTTGTGATGTAAGAGACAGAGGCCAACTTCTTTCCCATTGTAACCAGTAAATACTGAGTTATATAAGGGCCCAAAGAGAACTATCATAGCAAAGTGCTGGCAGAGATTAGTGATGTTTTACTCCTGTTTTGTTTACCATAATGAACTGGTCAATAAACATCACAAATTGTTTATCTATATAAATCTTGACAGATTACTCTTTATGAAATCCATTTAGCAAGTGAGGTTTTCCCATAAGGATGAAAAATGAAGATTTTAAACAGATTGCGGGAGAAGCTCTGGCTGTACCAGGAGAGTCAGTGTAATAAAGGTTTCTTTATATTAATATTACAAAAACCATTTATCCTGGCAAAATCAATATTGCAATTCATCTTAGTTTGGTGTTTCTCTTTCTAAGCTTAAAATGTCTTTTCCTTTATTATGTATAATTTTGTTTTAATGAATGTGAAATATATTTCACTTAGGTACTCTTGAGGAGGGATAACATAAAATGACATCAGACTTGTAGCTTATTTACTAAAGAGTCTTGGAAATGCTTAAAATTATATTTGAGTGGCTGAGAAATCTACAGGAATCATTTTACTTAATCCTTAATTACAAAATTATCCCCATTGTCCTTTTGGCTAGAAACAGACTATAATATTCAGAAAAGTCTTCTCCTGTGAACTTCATTTAGGAAAAATTCTCTCTTACTGAAGTCAAGCAATTATAACAAGTCAGATAAGTTGAATATAACAATGGCTGGGATAAGAGACTATAAAATCAAGAATAGACACATTTAATTGCTCAAAACATTGCATGCTTTGACTGGAAGAAAATAGAACTACATCAAGGAAAGGAATTATGTTACACACAGGAAGCTATTACTCTAAATGTATTGTATGTAAAATAAGTGTGATTGTCTCATGAGTGAATGGTAATAAAAACTGAAATACTCAAGAGACACTTAATCATGAGTGGTGCAGTTATACACACACACACACACACACATGCATTGAGAGAAGGTTTTCTCTTATTGTTTATGCTCACTAATATCACATTAAAAGCCTATAAACAATAGATTCTATATAATAGCATATAATGAAATTAAGAACAAATCAAGTATTTTTGCATCTATAATTTCATTTTAATTATAATGCATACTTTTCTTCAGCTTTAAAACTTAGCTTAACAAAACATCTATTTGAAGTGGAATTCTGATGTAATGTGTATAGATAAAAGACCTAATATAGTTGTTTGAAGGGGAAAAATGTCCTTTTATCATGACCATAAAAAGGGCAAACTGCAGTACAGTGGTTTTCAAGAGAAACTGTACTTTATTTATTCCCAAGGGGATATTAGTCCATAAAACAAATTTGCAGCTTATTTGGCAGCCTTAGCTTTTATCAACCTTTTTAAGGGTGTTGAATGATTACCCGAGAGATCACACTGTAAAAATTGCAGTGGGGAAAAGTAACTCTATTCGTTCAGCATCTTTATTAGAACATATAGGTGAATCCATTTAATGTTTCAAATGTATCACATGGAGAGTACCTTTTTAATGGTGAGTGGTCTTCTTACATGTGCTGTTTGCTTCTCTAGTACTTCATGGCACCAAAATTGCTTATCCTAATCAGTGCCATTGACGTAGGCTATGTGTTTGAATAATTCACTCTGAAGGAACAAATTTTAGTTTCTATCATGGCAAAATGCCACTACTGGTATTTTTACAGGCAACTTTGGATCCAAGAAATTTAAGTTGCAGCAAAGTTATCTTATTATATTTATATCATTAGCATCTTTTCATAAATCAGAATAATGCAGTATTCTCCAACTATTGTGGATAAATGAGTTTCGTGCATAACATAGAAAATGAGATATAACCCATATTAATGTATCAACAATATTTGAACCTGTCTTCCTCAAGCAATTTTCCTAGCGAAATTTCGTCTTCATAGATCTAGCTATAGAATTTTAAGATTTTTTAGAGAGAGCAATTATTTACTCCTGGTTTTCTATTTCGTAAATGGATAGTCACTTAAAAAGGTAATTTTATGGGTACTTAATCTACATTTTTAGCTGACAGGAGAACTGCTTTTGTAAAAGTAAAATTTATAGTATCCTTAATTGAACAACTGGATTCAAACTAATCCATAAGATATATTGTGGCACGTGAAAAAGCACTATAATATATTTTTTGCTATTAGTTTATAAAGAGAAAGCTTTCTACAGGTTTTATCAGGAGCAGCATTTTTATAAAGATCTTTTCTGTTTTGTTTTATTTCATGTTGATTCTTTGTTTAACTCAAACATTCTTTTCAATACGTTGACTAAAACAGACCATCTTACTCTACAATGCTATTGCTAGGTGTAACTTATACTATGAATTATTAATCAAAACACTATTCTCTTTGATGGTTTATTTGTCTTGTTTTCAGATGTCAGCCATGTAATTGTCATCTCTCAGGAGCCTTGAATGAAACCTGCCACTTGGTCACAGGCCAGTGTTTCTGTAAACAATTTGTCACTGGCTCAAAGTGTGATGCCTGTGTTCCCGGTGCAAGCCACTTGGATGTCAACAATCTATTGGGTTGCAGCAAAAGTAAGTGAACTCTGGCTTAGTGCTGGTGTGTGAAGTGGCATCATACAGGGGACTGCATCTCGTTGTTTTCTTTCTCCATTTAGAACCCATCAGAAAGGCTTAGTGCAATGTGAAGAATGTAGGTAAAAAATGGGAAAAAAAATACACTGAATGAAATATGTGTGCTTTTCCTTGATTAGACAATTGGAAATGATAATACAATTATGTTCATAGCGGGAAATTTACAGTGGTTTGTTGGAATGAAATCAGCAGGGAGGTGATTAAAGTCCTGGTTTTTCCCAGACCAAGGGTTTTCGCAGGACACAGGACTTTCAGTGCTAAAATCAGGACGTTACTGGTTAAACTAAAATAGTTGCTTACCCACACAAAGACATTCCTAGGTAAGTTTTTAAAAAAAAAAAAAAAAAACAAATGGTAAATTTTTGTCTATTATGAATTCTATAGTCTTTCATGCCCCAAAGTTTATGGGCATTATTATACTATTTGTTGGTTACTGATATTGTCATAATTAGTATCATTGTTTATCACAGCATATGATTCACCGTGTAATTGATTTTTCTTTCTATTTTGAGTTACACTCATTGTTTAAACATCTCTCACATTTTTATTTTTAATTCCTTAAAGCCTAAGATTACATATAGGTATCTTTTGACTTCTCAACACCATTCTTCTGTTCCTTGAATTGACCTCACAAGGTCACCTGCAGTTCTACAATTTCATAACATATTGACCATTTTCCTATATTTACTTCAAGATCATATATCCTTACCTTTTCCAGAATTCCTAAGAAATGCCTGCTGGGAACATGTGGTAGGAGCCCTCTACAACATATTGTGCTATGCATATTCTCCTTAGGGTGTCCTGAGACTGTCATGAGTCACAATGATAGGAAATGCCACAAGTCATGACAGATCATCTCAAACCAGCATGCCTGGAACTCTGCTATCTACATTTAAGGGGAAAGGGAGAGAGATAAGTAATGGGATATTGGACTCCACAATAACTGTACAAGATTTTGAGGTAATGGAAAGCAGGGTGTAGCTAGTGATTAAAAAGACATATTCATATTTTGCACCTGTGTAGTTTCTCTTCAGCATTCCACATTTCATCAGTCCCTCTGGATTTCAGCATAAGTAAAACTGTAGGTATTTATGTTTCTCTTGGGAAATAACTAGCATAATTCCTTTCATGTATAAATCCAGTCTAAACACAAATCTGGATGTCATTGGCTACTTAATTACTATGTGTCATTTATTGATTTTTGTGCAACAAAAAATTCTAGCATTTTCCCTTGGGATACGAGTTGTAGATCATTATTTATATGGAATTATGATACCTAATCTTAGTGATTTCTGATTGGTTCTGCCACTAATTTTGTGAAAATATTGGCATCTTTTGATGAGATAGTTTTTGCTACCTATTCTTTCTTGCATTTGAGACATAGTCTAGGAATTATGTCTCAGGCAAAACTGAATAGCATGTCACTGGGAAGCTAGCCTATAATTCTTAGTAGTGGTAGACATTTGATTTTATATTTTATTACCTGGACATTCTTTCCAAGTGTTTCTGATTTGTCAGAATTTTTAACAAACTTTCACATTCTTAATAATTCTTCCCTGAACATATTCCTTATGATTTTTTAATCTCTTTAAAATTATGATATATCGTACTGAGCACAGTACTTCAACAGCTTGTGGTTGTTGCTGCATCTGTTCTAGGTTTTTATTGAACAAAATTTATAAAACACTGTGTAAAGTTAGAAGCTCAGCATCAGCAGTGGCAATTTATGAGAAACAAATGAGATAACATTCCTGCCTTCAAAGGAGGTCAAAACATAGCTAGAATGACAGACACTGATAATAGGAGGGGAGCAGAAAAATGTAAATGGTGGGATGAGAAGGAAGGGTCTCAGTCTTCTTTCCTGTTCCAGCTTGATTTTCACATGGTATTTGTGTTTGATCCTAACAGCAGCAAGCCAGAACACTGGCTTCACAAAGATATGATGAGATTGAAAGGAATGTAAGTGCTATCTATTGTTGACACAGTGAACTACCTCTGGCTAGTATTTGTTTCTGTATCCAACAGATGTCAAGAAGTGTTTTCATTTAAACTTAAAATTTCTCATAGTATCCCCTTACACAGTTTGGGAGCTGTAGGATTATAACTTTCATTATATCTTCTAGGAGCCACTAGCAATAGTTTAGTAATACCATCTGTAACTTTTTTTTTTTTTTTTTGGGTAGGCTTTCAGGGTAGGAATCCTAGCATGTGATTTCCAAAATGCAAGAGGATTGAATTAAAATAGCTAGACCTTTTCTTACAGTAAATTTCTCTATTGGATAATTCACTTCTTTCCTGTAAATACTGGTTTCATGCTTTCAAAATGATAGGTATTCTTCTTAATGGGAAGCAAAATAGGAATTAATATAAGTAGTCCTATTTTCTGTATGCTTTCCTAGTGAATAATATTCCAGTTTGTTCAACTTTCTATGAACTTAACTAAAATTATATACACACATGTATAAAATTAGCCACTTATGTTTAATAGTGTTTGGCTTCTTGACACGATTCTCATTGTCATTTATTCATCTTTATATCCACATTTTTTCTTGATCTCTCCTTCTCAGAGAGCCTATTCTAGCTCTCCTTTTATGCACAGCTTTATTAAAGTGTAATTTACGTATTATACATTTAACCACTTTAAATATGCTTTGATTTTATTAAATTTATACTTGTCCAAACATTACTATAATCCAATTGTAGAACACTTCTGTCATTTCAAAAAAGTTTCTTTGTGGCCATTTTCAGTCAATCATGACTCCCACCTCTAGCCCCAAACAACTAGTTATAGGGAGTTTGATGAGATAATTTTTCCTTTCCCAGGAGTTTTATGTAAATAAAATTATACAACACTTTGACTTTTTACAATGTACAGGCTTTTGTATTTAGCTTCTTTCTCTTAACAAAATGTTTTTGAGTTTCACATTGTTGCTTGTCTCAGTAGATTATTTTAATTCCTGAGTAGCATAGCATGTTATGGATATACTATATTTTGTTTATCCATTGATCAGTTGACATGTAGATTGTTTTCAGTATTGTTCTATTATGAATAATGCATCCATGAACATATAGTGGACATGCATCGTTATATCTCTCAGGTATACCTGGGAATAAAAAGGCTAGTTTGTATAGGGAATGTATTTCTAATGTTTTAAGAAACTGCCAAATTATTTTCCAACATGGCTGTATCATTTTACATTTACATTAGCAGTTTATAAGAGATCCAGCTACTCTATGTCCTCGGCAACATTTAGCATTGACTCTATTATAGCCAGTGAGTATGTAGTAGTATCTCATTGTAGTTTTACTTTGCATTTTCCCTGATGACTAATGTTGAACATCTTTTCATGTGTATTGTGATTCATGTGTTTTCTTTGGCAAAGTATCTTTCCAATATTTTGCCCATGTTTTAATTGAGTTGTTAGTCCTCTTGCGGAGTTTAAGAATTTCTTATTAATTTGGGATAAAACTTGCAAATATTCCTCCCATTCTGTGGATTGGTTTTTCATTTTCTTCATGGTGTACTTTAAAGAGCTAAAACTTTTACTTTTCATGAAGTCAGTCTATCAGGCTTTATCTTTATGGGTCATGTTTTTGTGTTCCATCTAAGAAATTTTAAGTTGACTCAATGTTAAGTTTTTTTCTCAGTTTTTATCTTTAAGTTTTACATTTTAAATGTTTACATTTAGGTCCATGAAATAATTTGAATTTTGTATGTGGCATGAGTTAAGCATGTAAGTTCTTTATTTCATTTTTATTTTTTGACACATTGATATCCAAATATTCCATTAACATTTGTTGAAATTGCTATCCTTTCCCCATTGAATTGCCCAAGCACCTATGCAAAAATACAGTTGACCCCATAGCTAACATCATATTCAATAACGAAAGACTGAGATCAAAGATTGGACATAATTCAAGTATGTCCACATATTAGGCAGGAAAGTTAATCAAGAAAAATTAAGTAAAAGTCTCCTAAAATTAGAAAGTTAACTTTCTTTACTTGCAGACGATGTGAATCTATATGTGGAAAATCCAAAAGAATTCATAAGAAAGCTACTAGAGCTAATAAGCAAATTCAGCAATGTTCTATGTTACAAGATCAGCACACAAAATTAGTTGTGTTTCTATAACTCAGCAACGAACAATCTGAAAAAGAAATTAAGAAAGCAGTTTCACTTATAATGCATCAAAATTTAACCAAGGAGATGAAGACTTGTACACTGAAAACTATGTAACAAACACTGCTGAAAGAAATTTAAATAATATAAATTAATGGAAAGATATTCTATGTTTATAAACTGAATGGCTTAATATTGCTAACAATTCTACCTAAAGCAATCTACAGATTCAATGCAATCCTTATCCAAATCCCAATGGAAATTTTTGCAAAAATACTTTTAAATCTTAAAATTTAAATAGATTTGTAAGGGCTCCCAGTAGCCAAAATAATCTTGAAAAATAAGACAGTTGGAGGACTCATCCTTTCTGACTTTAAAAATAACTACAAAGCTACAGTAATAAAAACAATGTGGTACCACCATAAGAACACATATAGACCAATGGAATAGAGAGCCTATAAATAAACTCCAACATATGTGTACAATTGATTTTAACAAGGATACAAAGGCCATTTAATGGGGAAAAGATAGCAGTTAGAACAAATGATACTGGGAAAACTATATCCACATGCAAAACAATCTGTCTTACTTTACACCACACACAAAAATCAATTCAAAATGGATTGAAGACCTAAACTTACGAGCTAAAACCATAAAACTCTTAGAAGAAAACATAGGGGAATACCTTTGTGACATTGGATTTGTCAGGGATTTCTTGATGATGACCCCAAAAGCATAAGTAACAAAAACTTTATAACCTAGACTTTATCAACATGAAAAATTCTGTGCATTGAAAATCACTAAGAAATTTAAAAGATG